AGGTACTGCATGGCAACCTCAAGGGTGGGGCTGCAATATTCAGTGCATGGGCAGCTGAAGCAAAAGGGAGTGGAGGAGGTGAGCACGAAGACCGGTGCACCTGCAAGGCGTGGACACTTGTACCTCTCGTGCTTCACCGATGCTACCTGGGCAAGTGACATCAGTGATGCAACATCCCACGGTGGCTATGTATGCTGTGTTGGAGGGAGTCCAGTGAGCTGGAAGTCTAAGAAGCAAGGGGAGATAGCTCACTCATCAACGGAGAGCGAGTACATGGCGTTGTTTCATGGGGTGAAGGAGGTGGTTTGGATGAGGAGGTTGCTTGAGGAGTTGGGGCAGGAGCAAGAGGGTCCTACACCTGTGTTTTGTGACAGCCAAGGAGCAATTGCAATGGCTCGCAATGCTGTGCTCCATGGGCTGAACAAGCACATGCATATCAAATGGCATTGGGTGAGGAAGGAGGTGAAGAAGGGCACGGTCTCCTTGCACTACATCAACACTACCAAGCAACCTGCAGATTTTTTGACAAAGCGGCTTGCAGAGCATCAGCATTGGACCTGCGCCACCTTGTGTGGCATGTCCTTCAACTAAGGGAGGCAGCTTCAGGGAGCAGCTAAGGGATGAATGAGAGCACGATGAGGGGGAGTTTGTTGTGCCAACACATTACAGTGGCACGGTCATCGCACTCCCATTCGGCCTACAAGCCTGCTCAGCTTCTGGAATTTTGTGGGGAGGTTGTTCAACACGTATTCTTCAAACCCTCAAAGTTTCAGAGTTTTTCAAGCAGTTACCAAGGCATGACAACATTTTATGTTTCAAGACTTATGGCATCCCGGAAGTGTGTGTTACTCCTTTTTGGTAACACCCGAGTTCACCATTTCGGCTGCTGACTCGTCTACCGAGATCTGATTGGTCTGAAATTCGGTCTGGCAGTCCTTTGCCCCGCTGTGCAAGTGGTCACCAAGTTTCAGAACGATCCAACATCTGAGCATTGCGTGACAGCTGCCGAAATTCACTGTTCCGTAGTCATGGTGCACTGTTGGCAGCATTTCCCTTGCCACCCTTTCATTGTTGTCATGCCAATGGTGCAGGGACAGAGAATGAGACAAGAAGTACAGGTGGTCAAGTGGGACTCTATAACCCTCCTTTTGAGAAGTGTGGTCTTCCTGGAAGCAACTTGCAAGAGGGTGCAAGTGGGAAGACAAGCTGACTCATGTTGGCTTGACTCACTATTGGTAGCCTTGAGTACAGCTCTGAACATCCAAGTGTGGTTGGCTTTGCTGACCTAGCTAGGAAGTTTCCCATTCTTCTCTAGCCTTTCTCCCCTAGGACTCAACCTTCTCTGAGTTCCCAGGATGACCCAACCCCTTATGAGTCCCCTAGGCAATGTTGTACTCACCTCTTCTTTGCATCAATGAGAATACACGTTTTTTCAGCCGAGCTTACGTTTTCGTTCACTGCGTAGTGCACACACCTCTGATAATAGCAACTAATATACCGTTGGAAAGCAGACACCTAAGGCTAACTGCTGTTCAAGTTTCAGCCTCGTATGTTCTCGGAGCTGATCGTGACGGCGTTTTGAACAGAGGCGGTTTGAAGACGTCAGATTCTGCTTAGGCGGTTTCATGGGCATCCGCGACCCCTAAGTGGACTGCAGACTATAACAATAATCAGCGAAAGCAAATGGAGATGTTGGGGCTCACAGACCCTGCATAACATAACAAGAATGAGCTAGAAATTATAAATTTCATATAACTGCGTGCTAGTGTAGCTAATGTGTAGTGTTACTCTTATTGTTGGTGGTACACCATCTTGCCCACCCTTGCTCCTACTTGTACCCTCCTTTCTAATTAATCTTTCTCTTTTCCAAAACCATTCTCTCGATACTTACGCTTCCTAGCCTTAACCATAGGTTATTAAGCAGTGTGTCATGAGCCTACTTTGACATAGTACTTAGAGCAAGCTTGTTGCTAGAGCCTTCTTTCTCGGGCCCACCGTTAGCTTCCGTTATGACGCACTCCATCGCCCTGCCCGTAACGATCGCTGCCCGTCGCGCGCCCCGAGCGCACGTAGGTATTTTGCCCATTGCGCGCCCCGAGCGCGCGTCAGTTTTGTGCCCGTCGCGCACCTGTTGTGCGCGTCAGTTTCTGCCCGTCGCGCGCCCCAGCTCGCGCCGGTTTTTGCCCGCCGCGCGCCCCAGCGCGCGCCGATTTCTGCCCGCCGCGCGCCCCAGCGCGCGCCGGTTTCTGCCCGCCACGGGCCCCAGCGCACGCCGGTTTCTGCCCGCCGCGCGCCCCAGCGCGCGCCGGTTTCTGCCCGCCGCGCGCCCCAGCGCGCGCCGGTTTCTGCCCGCCGCGCGCCCCAGCGCGCGCCAGTTTCTGCCCGCCGTGCGCCCCAGCGCGCGCCGGTTTCTGCCCGCCGTGCGCCCCAGCGCGCGCCGGTTTCTCGCCGCGCGCCCCAGCGCGCGCCGGTTTTTGCTTTCTGCCCGCCGCGCGCCCCAGCGCGCGCCGGTTTCTGCCCGCCGCGCGCCCCAGCGCGCGCCGGTTTCTGCCCGCGGCGCGCCCCAGCGCGCGCCGGTTTCTGCCCGCCGCGCGCCACACCGCGCGCCGGTTTCTGCCCGCCGTGCGCCCCAGCGCGCGCCGGTTTCTGCCCGCCGTGCGCCCCAGCGCGCGCCGGTTTCTCGCCGCGCGCCCCAGCGCGCGCCGGTTTTTGCCCGCCGCGCGCCCCAGCGCGCGCCGGTTTCTGCCCGCCGTGCGCCCCAGCGCGCGCCGGTTTCTGCCCATCGCGCGCCCCAGCGCGCGCCGGTTTCTGCCCGCCGCGCGCCCCAGCGCGCGCCGGTTTCTGCCCGTCGCGCGCCCCAGCGCGCGCGTGTTTCTGCCCGCCGTGCGCCCCAGCGCGCGCCGGTTTCTGCCCGCCGTGCGCCCCAGCGCGCGCCGGTTTCTCGCCGCGCGCCCCAGCGCGCGCCGGTTTTTGCTTTCTGCCCGCCGCGCGCCCCAGCGCGCGCCGGTTTCTGCCCATCGCGCGCCCCAGCGCGCGCCGGTTTCTGCCCGCCGCGCGCCCCAGCGCGCGCCGGTTTCTGCCCGTCGCGCGCCCCAGCGCGCGCGTGTTTCTGCCCGCCGCGCGCCCCAGCGCGCGCCGGTTTCTGCCCGCCGCGCGCCCCAGCGCGCGCCGGTTTCTGCCCGCGGCGCGCCCCAGCGCGCGCCGGTTTCTGCCCGCCGCGCGCCACACCGCGCGCCGGTTTCTGCCCGCCGTGCGCCCCAGCGCGCGCCGGTTTCTGCCCGCCGTGCGCCCCAGCGCGCGCCAGTTTCTCGCCGCGCGCCCCAGCGCGCGCCGGTTTTTGCCCGCCGCGCGCCCCAGCGCGCGCCGGTTTCTGCCCGCCGTGCGCCCCAGCGCGCGCCGGTTTCTGCCCATCGCGCGCCCCAGCGCGCGCCGGTTTCTGCCCGCCGCGCGCCCCAGCGCGCGCCGGTTTCTGCCCGTCGCGCGCCCCAGCGCGCGCGTGTTTCTGCCCGCTGCGCGCCCCAGCGCGCGCCGGTTTCTGCCCGCCGCGCGCCCCAGTGCGCGCCGGTTTCTGCCCGCCGCGCGCCCCAGCGCGCGCCGGTTTCTGCCCGCCGCGCGCCCCAGCGCGCGCCGGTTTCTGCCCGCCGCGCGCCCCAGCGCGCGCCGGTTTCTGCCCGCCGCGCGCCCCAGCGCGCGCCGGTTTCTGCCCGCCGCGCGCCACAGCGCGCGCCGGTTTCTGCCCGCCGCGCGCCCCAGCGCGCGCCGGTTTATGCTCGTCGCGCGCCCCAGCACGCGTCAGTTTCTGCCCGTCGTTGGTTTCTGCCCGTCGCGCGTCCTAGCACGCGTCGGTTTTCTGCGCCTATAACCGCGGGCACCCCGCTGACCCGCTTCCCGTCGTCTTCGCTGCCCGACCCCGCCCGCTTCCTCCTCCCTCTCTTATTTATCGTGCAGCAGTTGGGGAGGGAGGGGGGGAGGGTGTGGGGGGGACGCGGGAGTGGCAGTGGGGGGTGGTTGTACCTTCAGCGCCAGTCCTCCTCTCTCTCGCGGTTGCGCCTGTTGCTGTGGAGGGGGGGGGGGTGAGGGGGTGGCGGATGTGTTTCAGCAGCTCCCCAGCCTATCTCCCACTGCCACACCTATTGCTGTGGGGAAAGAGGGTAAGGGGGTGGCGGGAGTGAAGTCGAGCTACCACCGCCGCACCTTCCGCCGCTGCATCTGCCACCGCACGCCTGCTGTGGTACTCTGATCTGGTATCTCCGCATGTGGCTCAATGCACGCAGTTAGGAGGAGAAATTATAAATTTCATATAATTGCTTGCTAGTGTAGTTACTGTGTAGTGTTACTCTTTTTGTTAGCGGTGCACCATCTTGCTCCTACTTGTACCCTTCTTTCTAATCAATCTTTCTTCTTTGCCAAACCATTGTTTCGATTCTCACGCTTCATAGCCGAAACCGTAGGTTACAAAATTGTGAATCATGAGCATATTTTGACAGAAAACCAACATACGAGTAATAGAAAGAAAAATAAAATCCAGTCCACAAAATGCAACAAGTAGATGACCCCAATTAATGCGTTGAAGAAACTCATGTTGCAACCAGCCCCATACTACGTTTTTACAACTTGAATATAATGTTTGATACTAGAAACAATGCTTTGCATCTTACCTGGCTTCCACGACGCTGTGCGAGTTTCATGTGTGTCGACGCCATACGCTTGTTTTCGTTCATAGCCGTAACATGCTCCTCCTACAAGTAACACATAAATATGAAAAGAACACACAAATAAGTTGTCAATTCATGTGCAAAGAAGAGAGCATATATATTATATGTTACATATGTAAGGAAAAAATAAATCATATCATGCTTCAAATTATGATAAAATACACAATGACCATGATGATCGCATGAATAATCCAGCCAAAGCAATTTCCAGCTGCCTTTGTGACCATCTGTGATGGGATGAAAAAGACAAGCATCAACAATTGTGGAATTTGATTTTGAGCGACGATGGATATGGTATGATCTAATCACATTGCAAATTTCCTTTTAAAACATAATATTAGGTAACACGGTTGGATGCAGCATGGCGATGCTTTCAGCACGGGATTAACTCTAGAACACAACGTCGCTTTCAGCATGAAATTAATTCTAGTACACAACGTCTTTGTTGTTGTGCTACATACATTGATCTGACAACGCATATTGTGGAGTTTTGACAAAATCTTCCTCTTCCTAGCAGGATCAGTTGCTGTCCATGCCGCAATGCTGAAATCTTCCAGCCCACCCTGGCTCAAATTGCTGAAGAACGAAGGCAAAGAGGAGAGTGATAAAGAGGGCGAGGAGGAGGGTTGCAAGAAGGGCGGCGAGGAGAGCGAGAAGGAGGGCGAGGAGGAGGAGGAGGAGGAGGAGGAGGAGGAGGAGGAGGAGGAGGAGGAGGAGGAGGAGGAGGAGGAGGAGGAGAGCAAGGAGGAGGGAGGAGGAGGACGAGAGGAGGGCGAGGAGGAGGGCGAGGAGGAGGGCGAATAGGAGGGCGAGGAAGAGGGCGAGGAAGAGGGCAAAGAAGAAGGTGAGGAGAATGTAGAAGGGGGTGATGACGAAGAAGGTGCATCAAGTGACGGCGATGTTCAGGAGGTGCGGCTGGTGCGAATAGCAGGTGATGGAAGTGTGAGGGCGCGAGAAGATGTGGAGAAAGGGGATGGTAGTGTAAGCAGCAGTGGAGACTCGCATGAATGAGGGGCAGGTGGATGCGAGTCAGACGGGGATGCAATTTCATTTGTCTCAGATCATTGGCAAGCAGTTGCTACCCACCTCCACTGTTGATGACACCGGTGTTCCTGAAGTCTCAAGAGTGAATGAGGCAAATGGAAGCGGTGCGCGGGCCAGGCCGTGGCGACTCAAGCAAAATAAGCCACGAATGGTAGTGAGCCTGTGAGGGCACGAGAAGATGTGGAGAAAGAGAATGGTAGTGTAAGCAGCGGTGGCGCGAATGGCAGAGACAAAAAATGGAAGGCAGTGGAGACTCGCATGAGTGAGGGACAGGTGGATGCGACTCAGACGGAGATGTAATTTCATGCGTCTCAGATCATTGGCAAGTTGTTGCTGCCCGCCTCCACTGTTGATGACACCGTTGTTCCTGAAGTCTCGAGAGTGAATGAGGCAAACGGAAGCGGTGCGCGGGCCAGGCCATCGCGACCCAAGCAAAATAAGCCTGTACCGTAAAAGGTAACTGTGGTGTGCCTTCCCCTCTTTAGCCCCTCTCCCCTCTTTGTTGCACGCAACCCATTTTACCCCTTTTAAATGTCGTACCCCTTTGTTGTCCTATGTCATCGCATATTGCTTTCCTGACTTATCATTCTTCTCCCCTCCCTTGCTTTCTCCCTTACCTTGTTTTTCCCTTCTCCTCTCCTTCCTCCACTTCACATCTCTCTTTCCCTTCGATGCATCCCTTCACTCCCTTCCATTTGTATTTCCCGCTTGCCCACACTTTCCTCTTCCCCCCACCTTTCCTCCCATTGTTTGTCCCTTTCTCGCCTCTCTAAACCCGTCGCCCTTCCACCACCTATCGGTTCTCTTTCCCCCACCCCGCTTTCCCCCATCAGTAAGGAGATTGCAATAGCGACTGTTGCAATGGCTGGAACCCAGCAATGGGAGTGAGGATAGTGCTAACCGATTAAATTAGAGACTTGTATGCTCGCATTGTTTTTTGAATTTGTTTTCAGTAGGTCCTTAAGTTGTAGGATTGATCTTATCTTTAATGTGGGCTAACATGCATTACAAGTATGATAACTATGAACCACATGCATAAATTACGAAGTGACGCTGCGGACGTCGGCTGCTGCGGTGGGAACAAGAGTCGAACTCTGCGTGACTCGAGCAATAATAGCATCATACGTGATCTTGATGATCTTTGACCTATTAGGAAAGATACAGTAACAGATCGAGGATCATCAAGATCATGGATGATGCAATATGCAAAATGCGAAGACAGTTAGGATTATACACATCATGAACAGAATTGATATATTAACACAATGCATAATTGAATACAAATATTTGAGTAGCTAGTACAGCACGTTAAAACTGGTCTTATGATGCTTCATGGTCGTATAGTTTGAGGATGGTCGACGTAGACCTATGTGATCCACAAGATTACTGGAATTGATGTGATTGAAGTCCTGGTTATCTTCTGTTGCTTTTCCACAAACATGCGAATAATGATGTTAAGCCAAAGCATCCGCTCTCATCACGCTTCGTACACAAAGCGCATAGCAAGAAACCAGGCTCCATTTGGGAGACTGTAAGCTCCACAATAAAAGATGAATATGTAAGTAATAAATACTAAAACAATATGAGAAAAACATTGTTATGGCAGTGTCGACTACGTGGGGCGTATACAGAAAGTCGCTGATCGCCTCGATGCTCGTAAGACTGGCCTCTCCGAGCCGTTGCAGATCCACCGCCTGCTCTTCAACCTCACCCTAGACTACGAGTCCCGCCTCCACGCGTTTACGGAGGCGAACCCCTTAGCTGACATTGGCTCGGTGGTCCGATGGATTATTGACACTGAGGTCAAGTTTCGCACGTCCGTCGTCAACCTCACCACCTCTCCATCTTTTCCCTCCTCCTCCCTCAATACCAGGCAGCCGCGCAATCAAGGTGGTCGTAACGGCGGTGGAGGTGGTGGTGGCGGGGGCGAAGGTGGTGGTGGTGGCCGTGGTGGTCGTGGTGGAGGTGGTGGTGGAGGCCGCGGTAGTGGAGGTTGTGGTGGAGGCCGCGGTAGTGGAGGTTGTGGTGGAGGTGTTGGTGGTGGTGCCGGTGGTGACACTACTAGTGCTCGAGGTGCTGGGAGTCGTGGTGGTCGCCCAGGCAATCTTCCCCCTTGCATATATGTCTGCCATCATGGTCAAGGCACAGGCACGCCCAGTGGCCAGACCAACCACCCTCGTGCCATGTGCTTTAAGGTGCTTGATGACGCTTGGTTTGATCGTGGTAACACCGACACCTCTCCTCGCTCGTTCCCTCCTTACTATCAACCCTCGTCCCTCACTCATGGACATCCAAACCCTCCCCTCCTTCCTTCCTGCCCACCTTCGCCTACTCGCCCCCTCCCCCCCCTACCAGCTGCAGCAGTTTTAGCAGCACCAGCAGCCGTAGCAGTACTTTCAACAGTAGCATCATCAGTATCTCCAGCAACAATAGTAGCAGCAACAACAGTAGCATCACCACCAGCAGCAGTGGGGTGCTGGCTCTCAGGTTGCGGCAGCTGCTGCTAGAGCCGCCGCTGGAGCCGCTGCTGGAGCTGCCGCCTAGCAGCAGCAGCAGCAGCTGACCTTTGGCACCGCAGCCATGGCTGCTCATGCCTCCCCTGCCCCCTCCCCTTGGGGTTCCTTCCCCTCTCCTCTCCCCCCCCCCCCCAAGTATCCCTGATACCCTGGGCAATTTCCTTGGTCAGGTTACTGTTGCACCTTCTGTCGCTTCCATGTCTCCCTTAGCTACTAATGAGGCTCTCATCCAGTACTCGGTGCCACCCTCCCCTCCTTCTCCCACCATTATTGTCCTTGACAGTGGGGCCATAGAAATTGCACTCCAGGGTACTAGTACCCTCAACCCCCTTCGTCTTCCCAGTCAGGTTCACAGTGCCGACTCCAGTCCTCTATCCCCTGTACTCACAACTCCACACTTCCGTGCACCGTCTTCCCCTGCGATACAGTCACTAGTCTCCACATCCCCACCATTCGCAACAACCTCCTCTCCCACCGTGAACTGCAACGCGCTGGTATTACCGCCATTTACCCTGGCCTTGCTTTCTACTGCGCACAGTCATCCCACTTTCGCAGATGCTCCTATTGACCTTGTTCACGTGGACCTATGGAGCCCCTCTCCCATTCGCTCCCTTTAGGGGCATCGGTACATGCTCGTCCTCGTCGACGACCACAGTTGGTACTCCACGGTCTTCTTCCTTCACGTGAAGGACCAGGTACCAGTTGCGGTCATCAACTGGGCAGAGCTGTGCCGCACTCACTTCAAACGCCCCATTAGCCACCTTCACTCTGAAGGTGGAGGTGAGTTCATCAATAATACCCTCTCCACTTACTGCACAACCCATGGCATATAGTAGACCTGCACCCATCCCCACTTCCTCAGCAAAACGACATCGTTGAGAGTCGCACTCGTAAAATCGCCAAAATTGTTCGATGCCTCATTGCTTACGCCTCCACCCCTCCATCTCTCTGGAGCTATGCCGTCCTTCATGCTGCCACCCTCCTCAACCTCCGCTCCCACCCTTAGCACCCGACCTACAGGCTACCCCATTACAGCATACAGTAAAAAATCTAAATGGTAGAATATTTTGCCAAATCCAAATGAAAAGCACAAAATTGGCTTGGTTCTTGTATGATTTAAATTCTCAATATGTTGCATGTCCTCACTTACTAAATACCTGGTGCCGTACACAACGCCTTTCTCAGCAAGAACGAGTACTGAAAGTTGTTCCCGTGCACAATCAAAATGTAAATGCATCACACGGTCCTCGGACGTACCATGTGGCGCAGAAAAACAAGCAATGAAATGATTTGTATCCATCCAAATGGTTGATGCCGTATTATAGACAATTGCAAATGCTCTTACCTCATTGGACGATTCATAAACTTGATCAGACGATAAATGAGAGAAATATCCACTGGCGGATCCAAAAACATGGCCGTGCGCTATACTAGCTTTTAAACGAAATGGGATTTTCCCAATTCTTAACAATGTGCCGCAACAGCTTGGAATTACATCTTGGTATCTACTTAGTGCACCATATAATGACATAGACAAACTTAGAAATAAGTCATTGCCATCTCCTATTATGTACTCTAGCGTTAAAGTATGTGGCTTACGAAACTCACTATCGGTCCTTTCGCTTGTAAAGCCGTGCTCGAAGATGATGCCATCATGATCCGACTCCCTTTGCCGCAACAGAGAGTTGAGCTGCAGCATATGAAGGGTACACCCACAACGTATACCAATATTGAAGCATTTGTACTTCTGGTTAGCTAATATGGATCATCAAGATCAACTACATATGAAAATAATAAGAAAAATCAACAAAAATTGAAGCATACATGAATGATACACCATTGTGAATGACAATTACATTGTCACAAATCAAAATATTTAGTACCACGACAAAATAATACCAGTAGAAGAGTATAATGGAAGCACAATCATTGGCAAACAAAAACCATTAGAAGGAGAAAATAATACAATGTTAAAATCAAGAAAAATAAACCAGATATAGACTCAAAACTGCAACAATAACAAACCTCACATTTACGTTTGTGCTTACCCTCACACTCACCCTCGCACTGCTCCACATGCCAGCGTTGGTCCACACACGCAATTGCACATGCATGAACTCACGCACTTATTCACGCTATCACTATCGCATTGACACGCGTACTTAATCTTGCACTCACCCTCACCGCGCACTACATTTTATTTCAATATGAAATACAAATGTTTTGTTTACCGTTTGATGTGAT